GTCAACACCAACACAGAAATATATGTTGCAGGTTCCTAAAACTTTCCCAAGAAACATATTTCAAATATTTAATTTTATCACAGAGGAAACCTTTTAGAAAGTTGTAATCAACTAAAGAAAATCTGCCTTTGAATTTGTTTAAATGCAGAAAGGAGGGTTCACCTTACATACTTTTCCTAAAACTTTACATCTTTCCTTTTGCCTAAATCTTCACCATAAAGAGCTTCTGAGAAAATGTGTTGAGGTTGAAAAAAGGGGTATTGAGAACTGACAAACAAGTGAGTATTCTCTTTATTTAAGTGATGGGTGTTGGGACTGTGTTTACAACACGTGAAACATGTCTAGTTATTTAGAAGAGCCTGGTGCACCCTTACCCATTGTCATGAGGCCCACCTGCTCTTGACATTGCACTAGGCCAAGGTGTCTAGACAGTGTCTTCTAGTCTGTATGACCTCTAGTCATCTTTATGTGACTTACTAAAAGGCACCCCTGCCACCTGTTGGAAAATTGCTGCAGTATGCTGATTTTGTTAGAAGGCTCTTTGTTGCCTTGTGACAGACGCTTGTCATGATAACTACATGAACTGATGATGTGAATAGCACCCCCTCAGACATGGCATCATGGTGTAGTGCATGACCTATACCATCATATGAGACATTTGCAAGTAGATAAAAAACAGAAATCACCATGGCAACACCTACCTTTAACATGAACATTAGAAACCATGCTCATTGCAATAATGCCTGGGAAGTTCCCGTTCAGCAAGTTGGTGGTGCTGAAATATGGAGGTAGGGTGTGAGGTGGGGAGGATTCTTTCATTGATAGCTTCCATTATTGAGAACAAGAGCCAGCCTATTGCTCTTTAAATGTGTTTCAGTCCGTTAAATAGAGCCTGCAAATTCCAACTACTTAGCCAAATGGAAAAGATTCTCTGTTTACAGAGAAAACACAAAGCTTGCTTCTTCCCCATCATTAAGCAGCCTGAGTATACTTAGCAGAACTTTTCCATTTAGGTATCCAAGTCAAGGCTATCAGTGACTTTTTCCTTGAAATCTAAACATTTTAGAAACATTTTGCAGGGAAAACTGTTCACAGGCCTGTTTAAAAAAAAATCAAATAAATAGTTTGGGGGTTTCCATCTTGGAATTAGAATGTTTATTTAAGAAACTCTAATAAAGCCCTCTTTCAAGCCCATGAAAATTATAGTCAGAACCAAGTGGTAGACTAAGGATCCAGGAAATAGCTATTGATTTGTGAAGGACAGAGGGAAAGAAAAAGCCAGGAAAGGAAAGAACTTGATGAGAAACTTTTAGTAATGGTCCTTATTTCCTTCAACTTTGAAAAACCATTTCACTGGGAGTAGAATTTAAAACACTCTTACTCTGTGACTACCTCTACCAGGCAATAGGTAGTGCCCAGGGCATGGCTCAGGCTGGGCTTCTATGAATAAAGGCATGAACGTAGGTGGGGCTGACGCACTGATTACAAGACTTAGCACAAAAAGGATTTTCAATGCGGGCAGGCAGGGCAATATGGGAAAGTCCAAAGCATCGTGCCCAAGGGATTGGGCAGAAATCAGGAAAGAATCTGAAAACTGGAAAGAAGAGACCCTGATTAGTAAGGGAAGATTGTGCCTCAAAGATTCCAAAAGGATGCCAGAAGTGGACCCTTTTATTGGGTGCTCACAAGTGAGCCATAAGCAGGGAGAAGCCCATGGAAGAAAACTCTAACCTGCCTTTTTATTTACTTTTCAAAACTTCCATGGTGAAGAAATCAGAAAATAGTGAGGAACACATGGTATCAACGCATAGGGGTGGGTTACAAAAGATAGCCAAAAGTTCTATGAAGAAATGCCGAGGGCATGGGCAAAGTATATTTTGATCAAAATGACAAAGCTGGACAGCCCCTGGAAGTAAATGTAGACATGTAAAAGTTCTGAAGTAGCTACACTGGAGATCAAAGGCTCTGAGTGATTTAGAAGAAAAAAGTAGCTTAGTCAAATATCATTGATGACATTTAACATTTTTACCTTGTGCATGTAATTATTCTATATAAATATAATCTGAAATCGGTGACCCATATAAGGTTATCTAATAAATGAGTATGCTTAGAATTCCATACTTGCTTGTTCTCTGCATTTCCAGTTTCAGTGAAGTAATGATGAGGGATATAGGTATCCTTACAGCCCTTACTATCACTTATATTTTTTGATTCAGTAATGATAGAAACCCTGTGGATGTTTAGGTAGACCCATAATCCCCAGTTGAGCATTAGTTATTGTGTGGTTAATGTTGTATGACTTAGTATACCCACCAGCTGCATGGTCAGGGCAGTAGAAAAGAAACTTCCCCTGGAAGGACAGTCTTTTTGAAATATTCAATGACCTTCCCTATTAGTAGATGTGACTCTTCAGTGTCTTCAGTTATTATGCAACCAAGAAAATTAGTAACTTTACCGTCTAGGCATGAAGTGGAACTGGATGGAAAATAAAGATAAGAAATCAGAAACCTCCTCTCCATGTGTCTACTGAAGGGATATTAAAGTCATTGGCTCTCACCCTTGGCCTCACACTAGAACCACCTGGGACTTTTACAAATTCTAATACCCAGACTATACCCTGGACCAATAAAATCAGAATTTCTTACGATGGGACCTAAGCAGCAGTGGTGTGTATGGGGGTCTAGGGAAAGTGGGATGAGTCAGGGTGGGGGTGTGTATCCACAGATAGTTCCTTTTGAGAATACCTGGATCAAATGAAATAAGACAAGTGCCTGACATATATTTAGTGACCAGTGAGTATATGCACCACCCTTGAATTGCTTCCTGCTACTCCATCTCTCCCTTTTGTGCCTGTCCCTATAGTGTCCGTCTTGGTCTTTCCAAGTGTATCATAGGTGACTTTGCCTCAGAATTTCGAGAATTCATTTTTGACTTCATGCTGACGAAGGCAGAACTCTCTTCTTTTCTCACTTTTTCTTTCTGTATTTTATTTTTTTTAGAGACAAGGCCTCACTCTGTCTCGTGGACTGGAGGGCAGTGGCACAATCATAGCTGACTGCAGGCTTGAATTCCTGGGCTCAAGCTATCCTTCTGCCTCAGCTCCCAGAGTAATTGAGACTATAGGTACACCACCATGTCCAACTAATTTTATTTTTTATTTTTTGTAGAGATAGGGTTTTGCTTTGTTGCCCAGGCTGGTATTGAACTCCTGGCTTCAAGCCATCCTCCCACCTCAGTGTCCAAAGTTCTGGGATTACAAGCATGAGCCACTGCACCTGGCCCTTTTCTCACTTTTAATATACCATCTCATTATTTATTTTGTTACTTTATCTTCCAATATTACTTAACTTCTTTCACCTGTAAGCCCCAGAATCTGTGGGTTTAGGAAGAATCATTACTTCTGTGTCTCTAGGGATTTAATTTAGCCAAACCTTCTTGAGTACTTCAGAAAAATCAGGGTGGAAATAAAGTTTAAGGAATAAAGGGAGTTTTTAAAAATAGAATACAACTCATCCGTTTCAATTCAATTCAATTCAAATGCCTTTCTCTTTTCCAAGCATTTTTAATAAGCTCACTTAAGAGTCTTGTTGAAAAATAAATAAATTACACTTGTTTTCATTAAGAGAAAAGATCTTTTTCCATTTTTGCTGGTATTGTTGAAGGAAACAAAAAGGAGTCTAAAACTTGGCAAAGGAGTACATTATTAGTGACATATTGGTCACAGATGTGCTGGTAGAGCTACATTTTCTTCCTGCCATTAGGATTTTAAGTGCCCACAAATTACATATGAAAGTCCAGATAACTTTCTTACAAAAGAGAAAGATGAAAACAATTATGACACTTGCAAAATCTTCATTTTTAAGATAGGTAAATAAGTTTCTGTGAAAAAGAAAGTGACACACATTCATCTGCTGGTTTTTCTTTTAAAGAAAAAGTCGTGCTGGATGATGCCAACATTTACTCAATGTCATCAATTCCAAATGTTTTAAGCAAGTGAAGATACCTGCGATACTCTTTTGCAACACTTGTGAATAATAAGATTTCCTTTCCTTAACCATTCTTAAGAAAATCAAGAAGGCAAAATTTAGGATGTAGAAAGGAACTTTCTTTAGTAATTTTATGGCTCAAATCTGCAGGCCTGTGAAGCAGAGTATGAGGAGTTTAGCCAAGTTTCGTTCCATTGCAGAAAGTCCTGAAAGGACTTTAGGGAGAATATTGACAAGCCAACCCTGGAAACAGGGTTAGGTTAGGATTCACCTGGGAGGAAACAGTGTTGGCATCAGGATGCCCATTAACGTAGTTGTAGTAGATAAATGTAATTCCAGATCTAAGGCTCTGACTAAAAGGATGTCATGGAAGGAAAAGGTATGTTGTAAATGAAAAGGGATCAAGAAACAGATTTGACAGGCATTGAAGTAGTAATGGCAAGCTAAATCTTTATTATAAGACTTCTCGAAAAATTTTTATTCACCTTGATGAGAAAACTTGATAGGAGAATAACTCCTAGAAGGATGACAGATGCCTCAATTTTCATCATGTTTAAGTTGGTAAGTGAACCAGTTTGAAATGTCATGTAAGTTGAAAGTGATATGAAATTGAACAAAGGAATGAGTTTACTGCCTATGTAATAAACTGAATTATGACACAGAAAAAATATGGCCTAGTTTCCTGATATGTAGGTAGAAAATTATTATCTGTTTGCATTTTTAATTTAATAAGAATATGCATTCTAAGATGATTTAGCAATCTGATTATTACAATGACAGGTAGCTTTAAATCAGGAGCTTATAATATATTTTTCAGTCTCAAAACTATTTGATGTACTGTCAAGGGAATGTCAGTGTTCGATTCTAATCCAGGGCTGTCTGGTATCTTGTGTGTTATTTGGTTTTATAAGTTCAAGACGTCATAGTGTACAGCTTTTTAAAAGCCTGTAGGGAAGACTTCAAGTTCTTTTCATTCTCAGCAGTACCTTGTTTTCTTGCTTCCCATTTTCCTAGGAAAGTGACAATATTGGAGGACCCTGATCAGAACATTCACCTGAAAAACTTATCTCTTCATCAGGCAACCACAGAGGAAGAAGCTCTGAATTTGCTCTTTTTAGGAGACACCAACCGAATGATTGCAGAGGTAATAAACTTCCCTCTGCAAGCTGTTTTTCCAACATTGTAAGAAATAGTATCTGAAACCCAGGTGTAGAAAAAAATATATAGTAGAAATTTAGGGGCAACACTAACCTTAAAAACAATCTTATCCAAATCTCACATGCAGATAAAGAAGCCCAGATCTAGAGAAGTGAGGAGATTTTTCCTAGGTCACCCAGCTAGCTAATGAGTCGGAACAGAAATTGAGACCTCTGGATTCTCAATCCACTGCTTTTTCTATTTTAGTGTATTTTTATATTTTTAGGTTTTATACAAATTGGTTTGTAAATTAATGACAACTTATTACATGTCTTCATTATAGGAAGTTTTTTATATTTTCTAAAATTTAAAAATAGCCCATTTTTCCTAACCTGAAGTCATCCAAATGTTGGCATGTGTTTACATATCCATATATTTTCATTTAGTTAGTGGGTTAATATGTATAAAGTACTTAGAACAATGCACTGGACATAAGATGTACTCTGCATTTGCAGCTATTGTTGGCGTACCTGGGAACACCACCGTAGTGTCAGTGCAATATTTGGAACATACTTACATTAAAAATTATTCATTGTTAATCTGACATTCAAATTTAACTGAGTTCCTATTTTATCTGAGAGTTCTATGCAGGAGCTAGGATTGACCCAGCTTCCTCAGGGGCCCAAATTGTACCTGGTTTCTGACTGCAGATGGAAGGTTATGAAGCTCTCATCCAGCTACACTGTGGTGAGAGGAATGGCTTGGTGGTGGTGCTGATGGCGTGGGAACAGTTCCTCAGATGAACAGCCTGCTGTTACCACTTTTTAAACCATCCTCCCAGAGTTCTGTATTTTACCTTGTTTCTGATAACAAGTATTAGGTGAGGGTAGTAATCTGAAAGGTTAAGTAGTCTAAGAAAAATCTCCATCAAGTGACCTTTTATTCAGCCCCATGTCTGCCCTCTGGAATATCCCACCTTAGAGGCAAGATAAACCAATACAAACTAAATTCGGATAGTGAAAGCGTTGCATTGATATCTGTTATTATTTTGGGCCCTTAGTTTTTGTTTTTGTAGCAGTTGTTTACTAGTTCTTCGTCAATACTTTTCAATACACTAGCTAACTTACATAAATTGAGTTTATGTGCCACACATATGGATTTAAGGACCCTTAAATTGTTATTTGTATTTGAAACAACATTCACATAGTTTTAAATATCAGAATACTTTTTTTGCTTTACAATAATATTTTGTATCTGTATTCAGTACTCCAATGTTTTCCCAATTTGATCATTTGTGATGCTCTTGTTTGTCATAATAATTGAAGATCAAGGAATAAAGGTTGAGTAAGAATTAGACCATATAATAACAAAAGTTTTAGCATGCTCCACTAAATCCTGTTCCTCCATATATAGTTTAATAAACAGCAAAACAGAAAATACAGAATAGAGTTGTGTCTTGTCCACAAATGGTTATGAAAAAGAGACAAGATAGATTCATAAACTGCTATACGGAAAACAAGTAGAGGAACCTGTTGCGGCCTCAATGCTAACTGACTCTCTTTCAGAGGTGATTCATCCCTAAAGTACAGGCCTCATCCTTGCCGATTACTTTCCCTCATCTTCAATGGGTTATGGAAAGGTCCTTAACCTGTTCTGCCATGACCTCCAGTAGTTTAAAAGCCTAGCCATTTGCTCTTTCAAAGTTATGCATGAATTTTAGCTAACTACAGGGTTTCAGGCTGTGGTTTTGCAACGTTTTAAGAAACTTCTTTTATGAAACTTTCCTGTCTTTTTATTTTTTATTTTATTTTAAAAATTTTTTGAGACAAAATGTCACTCTGTTGCCTAAGCTGAAGTGCCATGGTGTGACGGCTCACCGAAACCTCCACCTCCCGGATTCAAGCCATTCTTGTGCCTCAGCCTCCCGAATAGCTGGGACTACAGTCGTGCCCCACCACACCTGGCTAATTTTTTTTGTATTTTTGGTAGAGACGGAGTTTTGCAATGTTAACCAGGCTGGTCTGGAATTCCTGACCTCAAGTGGTCTGCCCACTTCAGTCTCCCAAATGCTGGAATTATAGTCATGAGCCAGCGCGCCTTGCCAGAATTCCAGGTCTTTTCCTATTACTTACTAGTGAGTGTCTAATATTATAAATAGCTGAAACCTGAAGAAGTCCAATCCTAATAATGCTGGTTGTGCATTAATTTTTGTTTAATTTTTTATTTTTCCTATATAAAGCCCAATTTCTACTCGGGAGGCTGAGGCAGGAGAATTGCTTGAACCCAGGAGGCAGAGATTACAGTGAGCCGAGATTGTGCTACTGCACTCCAGCCTGATGCCTGGTGACAGAGCAAGACTCTGTCTCAATAAAAAAAAAAAAAAAACAAGTTTAGTAGGTTTTGATTGTTTCTGTGCTTGCTTTTATCGTTTCTTTGTTAATAATAATTACCATGTTATAATGAGAACCTGCTTAGTATAAGTCTTGCCATTGTTGTAGACATGTTTTATATATATATATTCTTTCTGATTCTTATTTTATAGATGAAAACTGAGGCTCACAGAGTTAGACTACTTGCCTAAGGCCACACACTGCTGAGTCGTAGAGTCAAGACTCAGCTCCATGTCTGACTGACTCAGAAACTTCCATTCTTTCCTTACGCCAATTTCATGAGTGCAGTAATCAAATTGACATCTGTCAAATGTTTCAAGTGATGATATATTTCTAAATTATTTTAAAAGTGTACCCAGTACCTAGCACCTTAGTTTATATCTTGAATGCAGTGAAAGCAAATACATAAAACTATAAATGAAGAGTAACTATCAACCCCTGGAAATTCTTTATTATTCAGAGTCTCTAAAAAAGCATGTTTTGGATTACAAACTAACTGCCAGAATGCAATTTGTCAGCACAGGGCAAGCTTACCAGGATAAAAAGAACGAACTAATCATTTTTTAAGAAAACGAAGTTCCCCATTTCCCATTTACACAGAGGAATCCAGAAGTTGCCATGGTAACCAGAAAACATTTGCAAAACAAAGTCTGAATATGTGGGACACAAAGTGCAGTGCTCTTTCCTTTCATGTTCTTTACTGATAGCCAGCATTTTAAGGAAAAGTTATTAAGAGCAGCTTCAGCCTCTTCTGTTTATTCAGAACTCTTAAGTAATTTCAGCAATCCTACCAATGTTTTGAATAAAACCTGATTATGTCCCTAGGATAAATTTTTTTTTAAAGTTGAATTGCTGGGCCAAAGAGAATAAATATTATAAAAGCTGAACTACGTGTGACCCAACACCCAAGTCCACCAGTAGCGAGTGTAACTTGATACTGTTTTGTCTTATGGTTGAAATATTTCCATCAATTCATCAAATCAGGCCACACATAGTGCCATAAATAGGACCACTTGCCCCTACCTTGAAGGCAGAGTCCTACCCGTGGTCTAGGGCACTCTGTGCCCAAGTATGGTCCTAGGGAAACCTGTATTACAATACCAAATGGTAATCAAATGATGCAGTTTCTTAGATTACATTTCTGGTTGATGGATGCAGAATCTCTTCCATGGAGCCCAGAAATGTGCATTCTAACATTTTAAATGTGTTCAGGCTAAATTTGGGAGCAATCTAGGCTTTACCCTTAAGAAAGCTAGTTGAACCTGGATTTTTTTGATTGGTAGCCTATTAATTTCTGCCTCAACTTCAGACCTTGTTATTGGTCTATTCAGGGATTCCAGTTCTTCCTGGTTTAGTCTTGGGAGAGTGTAAGTGTCCAGGAATTTATCCATTTCTTCTAGATTTACTGGTTTATGTGCATAGAGTTGTTTGTAGTAATCTGTGATGGTAGTTTGTATTTCTGGGGAATTGGTGGTGATATCCCCTTTATCATTTTTTATTGCATCTATTCAATTCTTTTCTCTTTCTTTTTTGTTAGTCTGGCTAGCGATCTGTCTATTAGAATGGTGATCATTAAAAAATCTGGAGACAACAGATGCTGGAGAGGATGTGGAGAAATAGGAACACTTTTACACTCTTGATGGGAGTGTAAATTGGTTCAACCATTGTGGAAGACAGTGTGGCGATTCCTCAAGGATCTATAAATAGAAATACCATTTGACCTAGCAATCCCATTACTGGGTATATAACCAAAGGATTATAAATCATTCTATTTTAAAGACACATGCACATGAATGTTCATTGTGGTGCTGTTTACAATAGCAAAGACCTGGAACCAACCCAAATGCCCATCAATGATAGACGGGACAAAGAAAATGTGGCACATATACACCATGCAGCCATAAAAAAGGATGAGTTCATGTCCTTTGTAGGGACATGGATGAATCTGGAAACCATCATTCTCAGCAAACTGATACAAGAACAGAAAACCAAACACCGCATGTTCTCACTCTTAGGCAGGTGTTGAACAATGAGAACACACGGACACAGGGAGGGGAACATCACACACTGGGGTCTGTTGGGGCGTGGTGGGCTAGCGGAGAGATAGTGGAGGGTGGGGAGGTTGGGGAGGGATAACACTGGGAGAAATGCCCGATGTACATGACCGGGGGATGGAGGCAGCAAACTGCCATGGCATGTGTGTACCTATGCCACAATCCTGCAAGATCTGCACATGTACCCCAGAACTTAAAGTATAATAAAAAAAAAGAAAAGAAAAGAAAAGAAAGCTGGTTGAAATCCACTCCTAAAGAAAAACAAGCAGGTCTATATTCTACACCCTTATCAACGCCACAACTTTTGAAAATTCCGCCGATTTCGTAGACAAAAAAAGAAAGCTTGTTTTAATTTGCATTTTGATTATCAAATTCTTTTACGTCTTTACTGGCCATTACATTTCTGTTTTTGTTCATGTCTTCTATTTATTTTTCTCTTGGAGTGTTAGGGTAAGTCTGATTGATTTGTTGACCCCCTGAGGGCAGGAACTTTGTCCCATTCACCAGTTTGTTGTACTGTATAATAGCAGCTATAGGAAGCGAATACTGTGTCTGAGTGGTCT